TACAAACTGCAGCCTGTGACGTAAGTCAGGGCCTTAAATAGTCTAGAGTCCTAAAAGGCCCGGAAGGCTTCGAGCTTCCCTGTCAGGAGGGGCCGGAAGAACTTCCCTTGAAGTGCCTTAGCAAGAACACTTTTATTCACAGGTGAGATTCGCTTTGTGGTAACTGGTACCGAAGGACCCAGGCACACCCACCGAGAAGGCTATGAAGTTTCCTGCAGACTTGCCTTTCTGCAAGAAAAACCGACTGCAGAAAGCCCTGCAGCTGCAGACAGGGCTTCTGCCACCTTTTTTTTTCCCCCCCCCCCCCCCCCCCAGGATGGAGGAGGAATCCACCTTGGCCATGGCACTGGTGCCCTCTGCGGTTATTTCAGGGCAGATTCCATTGCTCCACCTACTCTCCGTGCCTCCCACAGACCCTCCTCCCCCACCCATGAGAAGGGTTCCAGAGAACAAGAGACCTGCAGTAAGGACCCAAGAGCAGGCATTTCAATCTAGACATATATCCATTCTAACTGCCTATCTTTTGTGGAAGTCAAGCTACTTACGGCAATTTCCATAAGATCTGTCTGTGGGGACAAGGTGAGAAAGCTGTTAACTATTGTCTGGCCTTGAAAAGGTCGTAAGTCAGGGCCTCCGTGGCTGACCTGCCAGAGGAAGGTATAAAGGCTTTATTCATGCAGCCGTGGCAATGCTCTCGGCTCTCACAAAAGTGTTTTTATGATTCGATTTTTCTTACCTCTTTTCTTAATTAAAAAGCTGAACCATTAGAACAGCACCTGCATCACGTCCTGACAGTGCCTGCATACTAATCCCGGAGCCTTTACAAGCAGTAATTATAACATAAAATCAGAGGTTGAATAAAACAGAAGGATTTTGCTCCCAAAGCCCCGCTAATCCCCTTTTAAAAGGGTCTGGTGAAATAATTCAGAACAGTTTCCGGAAGTTGGATTACCACTCCTTTTAAACAAAAAACAAAAAACTTTTTACAATGAAATGATATTTCACACTTAAAGGAGGCTGATTTTCCACAACAGTATTTTAGTTGAAAGAAAGTTGGCAGGCTTTTGGGGGCAATAGGAAACATTTCACTACTGATTTCTTACTCATTAGACACAGCAGCAGAAAACGTAGGGGAGGTTTTTTTTTTTTTTACATTTGAACCGTCTTTGTCAGGTGAAAATGTCCGTAGTGTGAACGGCAATTGCTTAGATGCATCAGGGAACTCTACTTGTTTTGTTTTTATCTTAGAGAAAATAAATAAAAGAGGCAGGCACACTTTTTATGGCTTACAAATACATGTTACATAAATAATAATGTAAGTAAGTATATAAATATAAACATATATATATTTGGGCAAAACAGTTTTAACCAAAGTTCTGGTGCTATTTTTTTTCAAGCTTTAATTAATACATTGATGAGTACAAACGTTGGATGTCTATTAAACACCTAGTAAACCCTTGGAAAGGACAAACAAGGGCATTTACACTGTCTGTAGTTCCTCACTGGTTTTGGAAAACACTGCCATGTCCATCACCTGATAGAAAATTCAGCCATCCTTCTGATCTGTTATAGATATCTGGTGATGTGGTGGTGGATCAGCTTTCTCTCTGCTCTGTCATTATTCTACAACAGCAGGGCAGAGCCATGTAGTTACCAAATTCTGTGGTTTCCTTCCACAGAGTTCTCCTAAGGCTGGCTGTCCATTGTAAGGTCAGAGCCTTGTATGTCCCTGGTCACTTTATTTTGAATTGATCCATATTGTTACTTTGCATTATGGTTCTTATAAATGACAAAAAAAGTAGGTGATACAAGTTTCAATTCTATTCTACTGGACATATTTACATTACATTAAACTGCACCATGAGGTACTTTTCTTTCTAATTTATTTTTCAAAAAGCTGCTTTGGCTATTTGGAAAACTACTGGGCTATTAAGACAGGCAAAAACCTTGGATACGCCTTCTTCCAATTATCGAGTGAATTTCTCTTTTCTTGGGTAATTCTGGAGCCTGAGCTCAATAACTTTCTGAGAAAGTTCTCCTTTATTCTCTTCATCAGTGATATTTGGGTGAAAAGGCCAGGCTGTCTGGACAACACGATAAGAGGCCAATGACAAGCAGAAAGTAGTGCTTTAGAACAACTGATCACTGGGTGGCCGAGAAGTTATTCATTTTTCCTTCAATGAAGACTTAGTAAAATGAAACCATGACTGATAAAAAAGGTGCTCACACCTTCCTGGAAATAATATATATTTGTGTCTGACTTCTGTCTCCAACTGACCTGTCCTCAGCTGGCTCTCACTTCCCACTTGCATTTTCCCTGCCCTTTACAAAGTCTTGAGGAGCCCACATGGGATGCACAATGACCTGCAGAGACTTACAATTTAAAAATCAACACCTGGGTGCATGGGGCCATGGAGTTCAGTACAATGCCAAAGTCTTAACAAGGCATAAGACTGACATTAAAGCTATCATGTTCTTCAGCTTCTTTTCTATAGTAAAATAAAAAGCTATTCTCATTAATTTTTCTTAGTCTTTTAAAAGATTATGCCTCTGCTTCAGTGCTGGGCTATATTAGGATCTAAAATTCTCAGAAAAGCAAAATTAAAGTAGCCCCAGAATTGTAATCATTTCTCAGGGATGCCTAAGTATGGCACACGGTTCCATGAAGCTTAGAATAGTGCTAAGACTTCCACATCGTGTAGAAAAGTCCCCAAATAGCTATCTAATTCCATGAGGAGCTATGGGGCACTTCTGAAAAATGGAGTTTAAAAAAAAAGCAACAGTGATAACTAGCATTTATCTCCAAATGTTTCCAAGATTAGCTTATTTAACACTCAAGCTTACTAAAGATGACACAGTATTAAAAAAAAAAAAAAAAACTACTGAGAGATGTTGGTCTGATTGTAAAGATACAGGAATTGAATCACAGTGAATTTGTATCATTCATAAGGACATGGGGCTGGCAAGCCACAGACAGACTGCTGCTTCCCTTCTAACATCACTGTGCTGCCAGCAGAATTTGTGCCTGATGCTCTCCCATGGACTAACAAGAGAGAAGGCTGAGCTGATGCAGAGAGGTGTGTCAGAAGCAGATTGTGTCCCTAAGCTGCCTCAGCCCTAGAAAATAAACGAAGTCATTTCTAACGTGAGGCTTGCCATGGACACTTGGAGCCCAGACAGTTCAATCTTTGGAAAGAGGTTGTAACATTTTACTCTTTGTGAAAAATAAAGATAGATAGATAGATGATAGATAGATAGATAGATAGATAGATAGATAGATAGATAGATAGAT